GCCTCTGCTCCCCAGCCACCCACCACCTCCCCAGCCTCTGCGTTGCCCAGGCTGGCCTCCAACTAGCAGCACCCTGCCTCCGCTTCTCAGTAGCTGGGACTGCATACAAAAAGGCGTTTTTAATGTTGATTTTAATGCACAACTTTACCATAAAACAACTTAAAAAAAAGGATCCTGTTTCTAAATTTTTCTACATTAATAACTAGAACTGGGTAAAGCTGCCACTGTTGTGTCTCCTTAGAAAGAACGGAGAAGCAAGAACTGAAGTTTTACTTCTTAAACAGTGTAATTGTGTAATGTCAACTTAAACAGCCATCAAGAGTGCTCCAAACGCTGTTTCCGAATGACGTCGGCCACTTAGGAAGTTTGAAAGGTTTTTTTGTGGTAACCAATGTTACCCTAGTGGAGTTTGTCGGCTTTTCCGGTGGAATTAGGATAGATGCACCCCAAAACAGTATTCTCTCTCTCATTACTTAAAGTACATATCCTTTGACCTGGCACCAGGCTACCTCTTCTGTGACTGTTTGACAAGCCTTTAGCCTTTCCCATATATAAAGCCCAACCCAGGCTTGACAGTGTGTGGCACTTACATGTGTCTGATTTTTATTATTGTTGCATATTATGCAGAATAGTGAGTTTCATTGTAGCATGATCGCACAGGCATATAACATAGTTTGATCAATTTTTGTTTTCTAGCACCTCCCCTTATGCCCCAATTTTCTTTACCCTGTTGGTCTCCTGCTTTCATGACCACCCCCCACCTCCAACAGGATTGTTGTCTTTCTGCTGTGTCTGGCTTATTTTGTTTGGGACTGTTGAATTTTACAACAGTGGTCCTTAACCAATTTTAGTCACAAATTGGCTTTTTAGGAATACTCTGCCCTGCCACTGAAGGTTGTGACCTGTGCCTGGGATGGAGCTTGGGTCTTTTTTTTTTTTTTTAATCTTTGCAGGTAATTGTTGCTGGTTAAGAAGAAAAATACTAGGTGGGCATAGTGGCACATGACTGTGATCCCAGCAGCACAGGATGCTGAGGCAGAAGGCTCCCAAGTTCCAGGCCACCCTCAGCAGATTAGTGGAGACCTGGTCTCTAAATAAAACAAATATCGCTGAAGGTTTGACTCAGTGATTAAGCACCCCTGGGTTGAGTCCCTTGTACCAAAAAAAGAAAAATTCTCAATTTGAAAGAAGCCAGGACAAAATAGGATTGGATTTTTATGCAAATTAGTTTTTTTAAAAAAATTTTTTTGTTCTTGTATATGTACAGAAACCTTTATTTTGTTTTTATATTTTTATGTGGTGCTGAGGATCAAACCCAGTGCCTCACACTTGTTAGGCAAGTGCTCTACCACAGAGCCACAATCCCAGACCCTGCAAATCAGTTTTTTTTTTTAGATTTTAATATTTATTTTTTAGTTTTCAGTGGACACAACATCTTTATCTTATTTTTATGTGGTGCTGAGGATCGAACCCAGTGCCTCACGCACGCTAGGCGAGCGCGTTACCGCTTGAGCCACATCCCCAGCCCCTGCAAATTAGTTTTAAAAAGAAATTTATTGGCTTCAGATAGCAATCTCTCATTTCAAAAGAAACATTTAATAATTTAAAACATACCCCCTCACCAGGCACTGGAGAGGCAGTGTGCTCAGCCGTGGTATGTGCCCTGCAACCAGCTTAGTAGCCCTGGGCCACAACAGAAGACCCCTGCCGTTTGATGTGTGATATTGAGCGAATCAGCTAGCTTGTCTGTGTCTTAGTATCCACCTCTGTAAAATGGAGTCATAATAGTGTCTACCTGTTAGGGTTGTCATGGTAATCAGATTAATTGCAAAGTACTTGAGTAGTGCCTGTCACAAAGTAAGTGCTTGTTAAGCCAGCATGTGGTGACACATGCCTGTCGTCCCAGCACTCAGAGGCTGAGGCAGTAGTAAAGCTTGAATCCATGCATTTGAGGTTGGCCTGGGAATAGTGCTTATTAAATAATGTGTCTTTTTGATGTGTTGTCAGAGCCTGAGAATAAGTAAGAGTGGCTAGCATTGAAATGAATGACTGCCCTGCACCAGTGCTCCACTGCATTGGCTACTGGAGATGCCCTCACAGCCTGAGGGATCAGTACCCTTATTTCCTTGTCAAAAGTACATGAACTGAGAGTGGGGTGGCTACTCTGTGCCAGGGTCACAGAGCTAGTATGGTGGAGGGGCCCCTGGGGGCTGAGGCCTCTGAAGTGCCGCTGTCCCTCCCATGTGCTTCCTGCATCTGCACTGTCAGAAAAGGACTTTGTACAAATGTGAGTGTTTTGAAAGAACAAGCCAAAGTTGCTCCTTTAAGTGACCCCTGGAGAAATAAATCCACTGGTTCTGGGTGAACAGAGCCAGCAGTCCTTGGCAGACACTGGCCCCCCTAGCAGCTGCTCGCGCCAGGCCCTGACACTTGTCAGGTTACCTCAGGCACCTTAACTGATGTTCGAAGCTCCCCTAAGCCAGTTGTCACAGTTAAGAAATTTTTTTTTTTTTTTTAAAGAGAGAGTGAGAGAGGGGAGAGAGAGAGAGAGAGAGAGAGAATTTTTAATATTTATTTTTTAGTTCTCGGCGGACACAACATCTTTGTTGGTATGTGGTGCTGAGGATCGAACCCGGGCCGCACGCATGCCAGGCGAGCGCGCTACCGCTTGAGCCACATCCCCAGCCCCTGCAGTTAAGAAATTTTTAAAGACTACCTTTAATATACATTTTTCTTACAATTCTGTTTTAGTGCTCTTATTTAAATTTTTCTCTCGACCAGAATTGACCTTTAGGACAGATAAATTTCTTATTTTAATAGTTCAAAATTTGTGGGCCTTTCCAGAATAAACATGGATGTTGAGTGCTGTAAAGCTTATTTTAAATTTGTGAGTGATACCTCTTTTTTTTTTTTTTTTTTTCCTTTTAAAGCTTAGAATCACCGTACTTACTAAATGAGAAAAAGGTGACTGACAGGTGACTTAGGGTGAAGTGTTTCCTAATGAAGTGCTTTGGGTCAATAAAAAGATTTTTTTTTTTTTTTTTTCTTTAGTATTGGGGATTAAAGCCAGGGCTTCAGGCATGATAGGCAAGTGCTCTACTACTGAGCTGCATCTCCAGCCCCAGAAGGATATATATATATATATATATTTTTTAAATGATTTAGGAAACTTGGGTAAGAGCACCACTTGGTAAGAGCTGGCCTGTGTATGATCCCATGTGGGCATCCTTCTCTGTCCGGCAGGTGACTTCTGTTGTCCTCCCACTGCGTACGTCTCAGGCCATGGATGTGCTCGAATCTGTTCCATTCTTTCTTTGGCCTCAGTGCCCATGCCTTCACCAACTGGCTTGCTGCCTCTGCTCTGGCTTTTCCGCCTGCTGCTGTCCCTCACAGACAGGAGTAGGAATGTTCTGTTTTTTAAAAGCTTTACAATGTGGGAAATACAGTGATGAGTCTTCTAGGTTTTTAAAGTGTAGCATTGGCTAATGGCGAATGCTTTTAGGGTGACACTGCCTGAGCACCACAGGCTATGTAGGGGTCAGAAAGCAGAGCAGAGCATCCAGTACTACACAGGCTTCCTTCTGTGGGAGGAATCTGCTTCAGCCCCACACAGCAGCACTTCTTCATGAGTGTAGGTGTTGGTCTTCCCTTCTTTAAGGGAAGGTATGTGGTATTTCAGGGTACTTTCTTGGTTCTGAACTTGAATACCAATTTCTCAAAAGATTTTATTTTTTTCAAAGTCCCAAGGATGAAATGAATTAGGTTCACTGGAGTTAATTTACTTTCTAAAAAAAAAAAAAAACAGAATTTTACATGAAAAGTTGAAGCCTGTCTTTGAGGATGCTGTTCCCAAACCGTGCTTGAGTCATGTTTCCACTTTTTAGAGTGGAAGACCAAGTTCCAGGTGTGCAGATGAATTCTCATCAGATGGGCATACACACCCACTTAGAATGTCACATCAGACCCCGGGTGTATGAATGTCATTGGGAAGGGTGTGCACAAGCTTGTAACGGCAGGGACCAGTGACAGCGTGTCATTTCTGTATTTCACTACACAGTGATGACTGATAAATATTTGGCTTTAGAACTAGCAAAAACAAGCCATGCACTATAGCACATGCCTGTAATCTCAGCGGCCCCAG